ATAACTCGTCCTACTAAAGTCATTAGAATATGGATTCAGACGGCTGAAAGGGATGCTTAGAGGTATGTTTTTACTGACAGATGGGTGGATTTCTATCAAGACATGTACTAAATAATTATTTCGAATCCTGCGTGCGACGTATTGCATGAATCTTCACTTTGAGGCATCCAAGTGAATTTCCTCATAGCTGCGCATGCTAGATATGGCACGCTTATCCGGTTGCTGAAACTATTTTCCCCTCCCCCACGAAGAATGGCAAAGAATTACGAACTACAAGATTAAGCTATTAGGTTGAAGAGAGTACGCGTATGATCATGGTATTGATCTTTCATCTAGAGATCACGTCGTAGGAGAAAATTTTGATTTTTATTGCATGTGTCGACGTCATATATGCCGAAATATGATCCATCTAAGTTGTGCTTACTGAATGGGATCTTGCCACGTACGTGGTAATCCGTGTTGTTGGATCGTCGGATGGTACTCCGGCAATCGTCAAGAAAAAAGGGGATAAGTAGCCCATGTCCATGATGACATTGGCTAACATCAAACCCACTTAAAAAGGTTGAGAGTAGACGGGATCCGGCGCTCCCTAAGGAGCCTCCTCACTCCAAGCCTCATCAAGCCAAAACTCTCTAAGTCATCCCAATAGACGGGGAAAGCCCGGGATCCCACCGCTAATACAAAGTTAGCCTCGTAGAGATTGCATGTTGGCCGCGCACGGGCCATCGCTGCATGAACTTTCCATTCATACCCTCAAATAAATCTTTGGATCTGAACTTCTGTCCGGTATACATAACAAATTATTACATCTTGGTCATGCATAAATATCATGCTTATCTTTGGTTAGCATTGGAGCTTTATAGACGCATGCATGCTGTTTCCAAAGCTACTTTTTCCACGGTTCAAAAAGGAAAAGCAGCGCCTGTTTCTGTTGCCCCTTCGAACTCATCGACAACAAAGCAAGATGATATAATTATGATCATTGATGGGAGAAGATATTTCTGGAAATGCATATAATATATTCCCCGTTTTTCGGCAGGATGAATTGAACCACCTTAAGTTGTCAAAGATCATAAACATGCGTGGCAGCATCATAAATCATAACATCGATGGATCTTACCATTCATATGATACGAGATTCAATGTCAGGCGCATGAACAAATCGGACCAAATGATTTGAGCAGAGACACTGTTGCCTCCTTGTCACGGCGAGAAATGAGTAAACTTTCATTTTTCCCGTCGTCCTATTTAACTACATCCTTGCCTTGTATAATTAGTCCGTTTGAACAGCCAATTGATAGTGTGATCTTGCACTTTTATAAATGGCAGATAGTTAGACAGTTGAGACCAAGAACTTACACCTGTGTGAGAGATGTATGAGTTCATAGTTCATGCTTAAGTCTGCCTTAATAGTACTTGGCTCTTCGAATAACAAGCAAAGCACACACATAATTGTTATTACTCATTTGTATTTACACTAAGTCGGGGTGATAGGTTATGGAGTGAGTAGGTTCCAAACCAATCCTGTCGAGGCCGATTCCCCATTTTCAGAACCGGCTTTCTCGTTTTTGTTTTTTGCCGAGTTTCATTAGTTTTTTTTATTTTTTGGGGTTTCATCAACCAAAAGATTTCGTAAACTTCTCTTACTCTTCCGGCCTTGCATAAAAATTAGACCATCATAATGTAACTCTCCGAATCAGCAAAATAACCACCACAATCCAAGAAAAAGAGAGAACTTAGGGTTAGTCTTTGAATACCAGCTCGGTCCCGGTTCCATTAAAGAACGGACAAGGCTGGTCTTAGGGTAGAATCGACGGTTCAGAAATTAGAACTGAGAATCAGCCTTGAACCGGATTGAAGCACACCCTTAACACTAAGTGCATCTAGCTAGGTTTTAATTTCATGCGGATCACAAGTTGCAGCATAACCCAAGACCAATTAGAAAGACAATTTTTTTTCCGTAATTTTTGTACGAGAAACCCTAAGTTTTCCAAGGGGAAAATAATTAAAAAAAAAAGACTGAAACTTATTATACTTTTGTCAATTCGGTCTAAACATTTTAATTGTGCCAATTGAGTATAAAATTTTTTCACATTTTGCAACTTGTGATCCTCATTTTAATCGAGTCTTAATTGTGCCAAAATCGGCCGGATTGACTCAATTGGCAAAACGTGAAATGTTGAGCACCCAATTTACACAATTAAAATGTTTAGAACTGAATTGGCAAAAATGCAATAGGTCTAGAATTTTTTTATTTATTTATAAGTTTCCAATTTTCCAAGACCGGTCTACATAATCAAACGTACATATTATTATCGGGTGCTGAATATGACCCCCTTATCTAATAACAATCCGTAATCAGTCACACCGTTCGGTACATCGATTCCGCTCGCAGATCAATCTCAAAAAAATCTCGCATTATCATTAATATTATGTTAATTACATGATCGAGCTTATCTCTAACCGTTGCCATTACTAAAATGAGGAGCTCACACAAAAATATCTTCGTGGGGGAGATGGTGAGCATTGGGGGCCCCCCCAGCCAAACGAGGGAGAGAGAGAGGGACCTCCAACTTTGTCCCTATGTTATTGAATGGTTTCAAAAGTTCAAATATTAAAAAACGATCGAATGGTCTCCCAGAAATAGATCCTCCTCTCCCTCCCTCCTTCTCTCTCTCTTCGGACAGATATTTTGATGCGATCCACGAAGCACGAGATGTCGACACGTGCCCCCCCGGGCCCGCCCGAGCTTCGAAGCGAAGGGATATTTTTCTTTTGTGTGTTTCTTTTGGGGTTGGAGTTGAATTTTCAATTGCCTCCGCAAGAAAACAAATGATTAGGAGGGGAAGGATATGATGGCCCGACCACCGACACGTGCCGATTCCCACCGACCTTTTCCCCCGTGGGACACCGTTATGGTTGTTGACTTTCCTCCCCTTTCTCTTTCCCCTCTCTTTTTCCTCTCTTTTCCTTTTGGGGTTGCTCGCCATTTTTTCAGCGTCCACGCACCGAAAGTGAAGCCTCACCCCCCCGCCCCCCTCCCCCAACGTGGATCACTCACCTCGCCACGAAAACCCCAATGACAAGACCCCCGTTTCATTTTAGAAAATCAAGATCTTTCTTTCGTCTTTCGTCTCGGGGGGTGCGAGGTCTCGGGTTTTATTCGTCGCTCGACCCGGTTTTTTTTAGAGCCGGGATAGATTGGAGAGACAATTATGCCTGTCGAGTGAGGCGGCCCTGATGTGACTTTTTCGATCGATGTAAGCTGGAATGGACCGGAACCCTTCGCTTGTGGATCCGAAGGTCACCCATGTGGGTGGATGTTGGGATAGAGAGGCTAGTAACTCGCGACTTCTGTTACTTAGGAAATCGATTCTTGCTCGCTGAAAGATCGATTTTTTTTTTTGGTTGGCAGAGTGTATTCATCGACGAAGTGTACGTGGCTAGAAGAATTGAGTACCGACATAATCAAGATTGGCAGCATGATCTTGTATTCGTTTCGTCGACACTAGGATGTTTCTCGATTTGGCTCGGTAGGTTCGGAGCGGAACTTGAGCACGTCGGCTCTCTCGACCCTTTTTGACACTTCGATCGAGAAAAAAAAAAAGAAAGCGACCCTTTTTGACACGGCTTCGTATGCACAAAGCTTTTCAACCTAGGGTTCACCAAACATCCTATTATATAGTCCTTCCTTAAATAGGCCTCTGTATGGCAAAAAGGCTATACAGGGAGAGAAGACAGCCCCCGATGCTTTTGAAAGAAGTGCTATTATTGGAGATTAGTAACAGATCCCTCGCAACACGAAACCTCTTTCGACTTCGCGTGCCCAATGGCAAGAAGATGGCACGTTTCTGGAATCTTCCTGATGGTATCGCCCGTAAAAATTACTATAACTTTAGCAATACATTAGAAGTCGATTCAATTCACGGTTTATCGTGCTGTGTCGTGTCGTACTTTTGAATTGGTCTTGGCGAAGTGGAACCTTTCTTTCGATTTTGACCGGAGGCACCGGCCATTTGACCAGTCGGGTCTTGCCACGTGGCCGTACGCCTTTGCACAGACCAGTTGCTCTTTCTTTCTTTTCTTCTTCTTCACTTCCTTCCTTCCTTCCTTCGTTTTCTTCTGACCCTGCCGTACAATGCGCTGGCGCTCTGTTATACGCTTATCAAGCGGATTTAGACGCGCGCGAAGAAGACCTTCGGCAGCAAACCCAAAGCCGTGCAATAAGTGCCGTTGAAGGGCTATTAGGGCCCAAAAAAAAAAAGAGAAACCAGAGATGTTGGAAAGGTTTATGGCCTTTGAAAAAAATTTAGGTGCACTTTTGGGAAATGTTCCGAGTAATGCTAATTATAAGATTATCTATAAAGCAAATTTTAATGGGTGTTTAGTTATTTATTGGATATAGCACGACGAAGCATGGCCAGGCCCCGGTTCCCAGGGTTAGATTATTCCCTATTATGAGCCTACCCAGATCGACTATTCGCTCACAATTTGCATGATCACGACATACGAATATAATAAACTGCTTTTTTAGTATACTTGGAATTACTCATATTTCAAGTACTTTAGGGCTAATCCTACATTGTATATAAGCAAAAGATATATCATGTGATGGTGCGTGACGTACAGATCTCGACCAAACCTCCCGTCACGATCGCCGCAACTCGCACTTGCCGCTGGCCATCCTTGACCCGATGCCGGCACGGACGACGGGGCCGTGGGTTTGAGCTCGGAACTGGAAACACAAAAAAAAAAAAAAAACTTGTTTTTCCGGCCAGTCTTCATTGTGAAATACTGAGGAACAATCCAATTTCCCAAGTTATTAATTCGAGAATGTAATAAATGCCCAAAAACGAAGGCAGCTTAGAGTCAAAGTAACGAAATCAGAGGGGGGAAAGAAAAGACTACTGTTGCCCATGGGGCCCATCGCCCACCAATCGAAAGATTTTTTGTGCACACCTCCCTCTCCAAATCCTTATAAACCCCCCCTCCTTCCCTCCTCTGTTTTTCAGGCTTCCTCTGTCTCTGTCTCTCGCTCTCTCTGTTTCTCCTCCGTCTTCTCGCGCATCGCCAGAACACCCGCAGCATCGACACCCGGTGATCTTTGTTCTCCTGCTGAGTCTTCGCCGTCGCCGCTCTCTCTCGCTCTGTCTGCGTTTCGAGATGGGTCGTTGTCACTCTAGAAGCGACGCAGCTCATGGAATCCGATTCTGTTTTTTGGGTTGATCGGATACGCCGCTGAAATCCAACCCCCGAGATTCTGAACTTCGGTCTTGGTTTTTTTTTTTTTTTGTTTATGACCGAATTTCGGATCTGAGTTTCGATTTTCCTCTGGATTCTTTCTCCCTCTGATTCCGACGTACATTTGATCCGAATCCTTCTTTTTCTCCGACCCCCATTTGTGCAAAGGAGAAGGAATCCTTTTAGTCTCCAGCTTTGCTTTGTTTTTACTTAAAGCTTGAGAGAACGGAGGCGGTAATTCCAATCGGGTTTCGCGATGGCTGCTGCGGAGAAGAACACCGGGAAATCGAGAAAGGGTGTTGATGAGACACAGAGGATGACGGGCCAGAGAGATAGCGATTCCAACTTGGAGAGCCAGCAGTGGAGGCCTGTGTTTGGAGAAGCTTCCATGTCGAGTAGGCCTCTCAAGAAGGTCCGAAGCCCGGAGAGGCAAGCGAGCTTCCAGTTATCATCGTCTTCTTCTTGTTCTTCGGCGCATCAAAATCAAACACCTTTCGCCATGCCTTCCTCTGTTTCCCCTGCTTCGGCCTCACCGCTCACTACCATCGCCCCTTCGTCTTCGCACAACTCTCCACGATTGATCTTTCCTTTTGCTCTGGATGGAACCCAACATCACGGGCAGTTCCAGCAGCAGCTCGGGACCGTCCCGTTTCACGCATTTCGGCCGACGCTCCAGCTCCAACCTCCGCAAAATCAGGGGCAGCAGCAGCAGATGATATCTTTCGCCTCGCAGCAGCAGCAGCAGCCAGGCCTCAATCACCCGCTGTATAATTTCGCAGGCGACTTGTCCCCATTGCAGCAGCAGCAGAGGCTGTTGCAGTACTGGAGTGACGCACTAAATCTCAGCCCGAGGGGGAGGATGATGATGATGAATCGGTTGGGGCCCGACGGCAGGCCGATCTTCCGGCCTCCGCAGCCGATAAACACCACCAAGCTCTATCGGGGAGTGAGGCAGCGGCATTGGGGCAAGTGGGTTGCAGAGATTCGCTTGCCGAGGAATCGAACCCGACTCTGGCTCGGAACCTTCGACACAGCTGAGGATGCAGCCCTGGCCTATGACCGTGAGGCATACAAGCTTCGAGGAGAGAATGCCAGGCTCAATTTCCCCGAGCTTTTCCTCAACAAGGACAAGGCTGCGGAATCCGGTGGTCCGAGCTCATCATCTTCTTCACCCCCTAAGGATGAAAACGCGATCACTCGCGAAGACATGAAGACTTCTCCGCAAGCTTCAGAAGAACCCACCCTGCAGGACTCGCCTATGGAGCTGATGTCCTCACCGACTCAAGAAACCAATCCCGATGGGGATTCGGGAATAGGATCGAGCGAGGTCACGGCAGGTGAAGTGGTTCAAGGGGTGGCGGGAAGTAGCATTGCAGGGGAAGGAGGTTCGGTCCCGCAGGAGATGGTGTGGAGGGAAATGGCAGAGGCTTGGTGCAATGCGATGCCGGCCGGTTGGGGACCGGGCAGTCCGGTATGGGATGATCTGGATGCAACCAGCAATATTCTGCTGCAATCCCAACTTCCTTTTGGCCACGCAAATGAGCAGCAGTTCGATGAGAATAATGTCCAGAGGCAGCAGGAAAATTTCGGGTCAGCTTCATCATCATCATCAAATTCTTTGCCCACGAAATCCTTCTTTTGGAAGGATCGAGATTGAGGTTTCATCAGCATTTCCACAAGCATCTCTCTCTCTCTCTCTCTCTCTCTCTCTCTCTCTCTCTCTCTCTCTCTCTCTCTCTCTCTCTCTGAAAAGTTCTTTTTCGGGTCCATTTTGCACGATCACCTCATATTGCTCAAGGTATGAAGATTTTTCCGAAACCGACCTTCTGATTTCCAAAAAAGTTCGTGTTTATCCTCCACATATTTGGTCAGAAAGAACATTGTCCACAGGTTGAGAAACTCTTCTTGGCGGTTGCAGATTTTTCCAAAAAGCAACCCAGTACAAACTTTTTTCAAGAAAACTTCAGAAGCTTCTTCATTTCTCATCTCCCCTTTTCCTTCCCTGGTTTAGATGCCTAGAATCTTCCAGGATTCGGCTTCATCCACGGACGTGTCCCCCCTTGAATTCCCAGATGAACAGGGGCTTCATATTTTTTTCAAAGCCTTTCTACAGAGGAGTGGGACAAAACAGAAGGCCATTTGATCCCCGGTAGTCGTCACAGCAGTTTGTCCATTTAGGGGATGTGACTCGTGGGTTTTACTTGCTGTATCTTTTAGTTTTGTGTTTGGTACCTAGTCTTATGATAATCAGGTTGATAGTTAGCAGCTGTAGCCTGTAGATCACATTTTCATGGTGGGCCTGCATTGAGGGAGACGGTTTTGTGATCTCCTTCTCAATTTGGTCCGTCCATCACCAGCTTTGTTTTTGTGCTGTGATGGAGTCATTGTAGCTTTTTGTGATCATCTCATGTCCCATCTTTATCATTATTAGTAGTACAATTGATGGATTGTATCGGAACGCTATCGTTGTTTGTTGTTTCATTCTACTACCTCTAATTAGCAAGCTTATTAGAGCAATACAGCCCACCTAATAATCTCCTAGCAACTTAGAGCAATTTCTTCTATCTACTGCTGAATTTCCTGAAAGAACAGTAGATTCTTGACATTGTTCGATAACGATTACTCCAATTCCGTAGAATTTTGCCATGTTCCAAGGTGCATGACTAGGAAGTAGTTCCCATCACACAAGAAGCATCTTCCCTACGAAATTGTTGTTTATATTACGAGTTACGTCACCGCGGAAGCATATCCTGGGAGATTTAAAGCAGCGCGAAGATAAACCCACTTTATGCTTCATGCAATAGCCGTGGAAATTGCCAACGCCTTACCCGAGGAATCTGCCTTGATGGGGAGCTGAAGCTGAAAGTTCCTACTTTCCTTTCCCTTACAAGAAGAGATGACTCTATTTACGAAACCCACCACCAATTCAGGAATATTCTGTGACATCTGCAACCCGAAATTCTATTAACCAAGAGAGCCGAACATAACAACTACTGGAAAGAACATATCAACAACTGGAAAGAGTATGAATTAAGTACTGTATTAAGACCTTGGAGATAAGTCACTGACAGGGAAACGATAGGGAAAGTGGGACCGAAGGCCACCGGCCCATGACATCATGCACATTTCTTATTTGTGACGGCACGATAACGATGAACTTGTGCTGAGAAAATGATATTGCTACAAAATGATGAACAAAGTCGATTAAAATAAGTCAGAATAAAGTAATGTTATGCGTAGAGGATGGATTCAATAAAAAAACTGGAAATATCTTGGAATGATGGGCAGGCAACTTTGGATTAGTGTGGCGCAAGTGATGCTTCAGTTTAAAATAAATCCCACACTTAAGTCAGAATGTGGTTTCTTCCTTGGTTTATGTCTTGTTAGTTGACAAAGGACAAACGGAAAGTTGACTAGGTAGGCCATTAAAGTCTGCCTTGAAAATCAAATTCCCTAGTAGAGGACAACTCCCGACTTGGTGGAGGGTGCATGAACTCAAACTGAATACATCAGCTCACATCCCACGAATAATAATCTTCTTCTCCTGTGAATTTTGGCTTTAGCTCATGGAGAATCGAACAAAGTACAAACATGGGGGAAGAACCAGGAAGCTCCACATCTAGAGGAGGTAGAATATTTAGCAGAGTCCAATGGATACTGGGAAATACAAAAGAGTTGGGGGTAGGCAATTCTTTCCGCGCCAAGCGAGAACATGTACCCTAGAAATTGTCCAAAAACAATCACAGCGGAAAACCCAAGTGGGACTAGTTAATCTTTGGACATATGTTTAACCATATTTAACTCTCCAACATCATGAAGGGCTTGGTCATGATTAGAAGTGTTTCAGATAATTTTGATCAACCAAAGATAACAAGTATTTTTCAACCACTGGGTGCGACCAACTATTAAGCAGCAACTTGATAATTTTCTTTTCCCGAGCCAGACTTTCCTCATTCACGCTCAAAGAGTTGATTTACCTAATGACTTTGACAAAGATGGAAGAGATCTTTGAGTTGGAAAGAAGTGAAGTTCTTCTGTCTTCACATGTTTGAGCAATCACGCCAGGATCACCCACTCCATTATCTGTATTACCATGCAAGCTGGTGTCATCGTGAATATCATCATACAGCCTGCTCTAGCATTAGCATTTGCCCAATCTCCAACTGCTACACCGCCGAAACATGAATCTCCGTCTTGAAGCGTCATACTGCCAAAAATTCTCCCCGCAGCCACCCTCGTTCAACTCTTGCCTACCAAACATCCATCCTCTATAAGCCCTGTCTTTATTTGGCTCTCTCAATGAAATCGGGCCTACATGAGCATCACAAGGTATACCAAACACAAAATTAAGCTTAGTAGATAATTGCAAATCTACTTTGATTACAAATGCAACCATTAAGTCATTCTGATCTGCTTATGTTGTTCCGTCCAAGTCATACTCAGCAATGCCGAGAGACCAATCATTTCAAAATTTCAAGGTAAATAAGCGACAGTTTACACTACAACAAATCTGGGTTAACAAAAAGAAAAGGGCGAAAAAGAAGACTTCAATACCAGTAGATGACCTCGGTGAACTGGTCACAATAACCAAAGGCAAATGTCCTGAATCATCTCTCTGGGAATACTATCTGAAGCCACTTTGCCCAAAGGTCAATTATGAATTATAAAGGCAACATGTCACAACCTTCCAGGAAAAATTTATACCAAATAATGTAAAAACCAGTAACTCAGCAGTTACATGATAAAAGGCTAAATCTACCACAAGGCACAATTGAGGCTAATTATCTCTCCCGACTTGCTTTTTCTCATAGAGGCTGAATCTACCACAAGGCTATCAACATGTCTCAGCTTGACATTCAAGTTCAACAACTAAAACTTGAGCTTGAGCAGCTCATTTGGTTGCCCTAATGAAATAATACTGTAATGCAATGACTCATTCTTGATTCTACTAAAAAGTTAAGCACATAAAATGTGATTATATTAAAAAATACCATACTACAGTAATTATCACATCGATAGCTATTCACGAGTGTAATTCTCCATTTATATTATCAAGATATTACATTTAACATATAAATTACCATATATCATACATCATCAGGTTCGATTGCCACGTGTGTGGAAGTAGCTGGTGAATGGAGTTTGGCAGAGAGTAATTAAAGGTGGTGATTTCATCTATGTCGTTTGAATAAGCCAAGAGGGAGATATTTGTTGGCTGGTGGTCTATTGATACCTCTGTATATATTACTGTTCTACATACATGGGTGGACCAGGCAATGGCTTGCCTGTTGAGCGAGGGTCGAGTAGAGTGGGTGGAGAACAACAGGGAGAAAAAGATATGACCAGTAAAGCCATGTATTGCAGCGGAGAACTTCCAGCATGTTTTGCTGCAATAATAGCTATTACATGACCCCGTGTAATAGCTATTCCAAAAGTATCATTGTCACTGTTCTCCCGCTCTCTTTTAATGTTAGATTGTTACATATAATTATTATTTGTATTACTTATAACTATTATTTTATATCATGTATACAATAATAACATGAATTACAATTTTTTGGACATAATCATATATCATCGGTGGTTGAGAATGATAGTTGTCAGATGGGTCCAAATTTTCAACCTAGTCAAATTGATGCTCAGTTGCTCACTATGTTTCTTAAAGCAAAAAGCTGATGACCATCATGAAGAACATATAGCTGGTCAAAAATAAGGCAACATAAATTTTAACATGAATAATGACATCAAAATGCTGACCTTACAAAATGTGAGCCTAAGCCTCATTTTCTTTCTTAAAAAAAGGAAAGGCTTTACAAGTAAAGGATCCAGGAATAAAGAAATTGTATAGGTGAAATTCATCTGCATAGACGTAGTTCTACATTCTATCCAATCAAATTATCTTGTCCCACTTTAGCTAAGCCTATCCAGCTTCATCAGCACACTGAGAGTCCACACAACCAAGATGGTGCTCATATTAACCAAACCTGCTTAAAGTTGGGAAATGCCATGGGTAAATCCTGTGTCTGAAGGTTTTGAGATGCATCCCTCCCCCCACAGCCGCCCGCCCGTGGCACCCCCCAAAAAAAAGCATTTTACCCTTTTTCACTAAAAAGAACAGGAGGTTCAGAGGCAAACTTCCGACCAAAAAAAATAAAATAAAGAGGGCTTAATGTCCAAAAAGAAAAACTATACCTTTCCCTTCGTAATGAGAAGACAGGCACGAGGGCAAGATGGCATTACAGCTGAACTTTTCCTCACTAAGTGGATCAGTTATAAACATCATAGAGTGCCCTCGTGCCTTGTTGTACGGTGTCATATTCTCTTCAAGTTCTCGATCTCCATAACCCTTTAAAAAGTAGCATCTTTGAGGAATGTAAAGAAGGGTTTCAGATAGTGCTAACTTAGGCCTCCTCTACATCTTTTACGCATTCATTCTGGTAATTAGGAAAATCCTTAAGCACTAGCCTGACAGTCCAACCAAACTTCAACTTAAAAAACCCAACCATTAAATTCAGACATGGTATGTATGATTTTCCCTTTGCCAAAATTATCGCTTGGATTCTATTCATACAAAGAAAAACCTCTAAATGTCTTCCTTTGTTCCTGTGCTGTAATCTATTAAGCTAAGAGTTTGCCAAGAACACAGCTCATATCCAAAATAAACAAAGTAACTAACTTTAAAATGCAAAATCACAAGAAATAAGTTTCTGAGCCAATTTCCATTCGATGCAGCTCTCGGAGAGAGCAAGTATTGGACATGACAATTATAGATCATAGAAATGTCACGGACGACAAACCAACATGTAGTTGGCACCGGACAATAATTAAACTATGAAATCTAACATGTCTTGTCATTGAACGGATCCAGATTCCAGACAACATTCTCTTATAAAATAAACAGGAAAAGAAAAGGAGCAAAAACAGCAAGTTTCTGCCTAAATAAGTGCTTAATGTACCAGCAGAGTTCAATACAGTCCAACTAAAGGAACAAGACAATATGACAATCTTACAGGTTCTACTGTTTGCTATTCTCAGCCTCCTCTTTCCCAAGAGCTACCACCACTTTCTTCAAGATGGCTTCAGTTGGCTGGTGAGAATTCTTGACTGCCTTCGAAATGACTTGCCATTTCTCACCATATTTGGGTTCCGCAGCAACACATCTCATCAACACATCTTTCTGGGTATCCTCCGTCCCATGTTGCAGTTCAAATTTGTAATACAATGCCCAAAAATCCCCAACATCAGGTTTAAGGGTCACAGCCCTATTCAGCCAGGTTCTAGCCTTGTCCACCTTCCTATCATGCCAGAACAATTTTGCAAGAGCAACAAAAACATGTGGGTCATTATTACATTTCTTAAAAGCATCCGCAGTCTTGGTTTTGCGTTGGGGGCGAGGAGCCATCTCAATCGATGCAGCCCAGACAATGCCACTGGTGGGACACTCTTGCAATGCCTTTG